ACATAATATATTGTTAAAATACGTCACGTATCAAGCTGGTAGGTGCATCAAGCGCATGTCCATGGGTAACGTAAGCGGGGACAAAATACAGTAGTGGGGTTCAACACGCGAAGAGGAGAAGAGAGAAAAATCGCTCATTCCTATATCCATGATAGTGAGTAGTCGATCAATTGTAAATCGTACATCTTTGTTGTTGTTGGAATACACAGGTTATAAATACTCTGGTAAAAATGACAGAAATTTCGTTCTCTAGTCGTGCATACTGTAAGATTATTTTACACACGGCTAAGTATCCACACTGTGCAGTAAATGGGTTACTGTTAGCCAAGCAAAAAAATAGAATTGACGGTAAATTCACAGAAATATGTATCGAGGATGCGATTCCACTGTTTCATATCTGCCTTCATGTCTCACCTCTGGCGGAAATTGCTTTGGCTCTGGTAAATATTTAAATGTTTCATTAACAATCTACTTTTGTTAATTAATGCAGCATTGATTTTTATTGATTCTTTGTATCAATGAATCGTGAAGATACTCTGTATCATGAGTATGTACATAAAAATAATAAAAGCACAATAATTTTTTATTTTACTTTCAGGTTAATTTCCATGCTAAGAGTGAAGGTTTAGTGATAGCAGGTTATTACCTTGCAAATGAAAATATAAATGATGTGAGGTAATTTACCTTCCCTTTAAAAAGAATATTTTATAAAGCTCAAGTTATTCTAACATTAACTATACAAATTTTAATATAGTATAGATAAACCTGCTCACAGAATAGCAGACTGGGTAGCAGAAAATTATGGCAATACTCTCCTTGTTGTAGTAAGTATTTTATCAATTAAAATGTTATACAAATTTTTCTATTATTTTCCTTTTGTATTTTCAGGTAGACAACAAAGAGTTACGACCTAGTATGAATTTGAATCCCTTGAAAATTTCACAATATGTAGATGGAAAATGGAAGCCCAAGGCTACAACAGAGTAATTAATTTAATATATTTGTATTAGTTTTTAAGGCTAGAGGCACACCGACCATTGAAGCAACATCCATTGTATGAGCTATAGTGAATTTCAATATCTGTCCTAGCATAAATACAGTAATGAAAAATTAATACACATTGCACTATCCATTGAAAATGACACACGTTCGCAGTGTGTTCTTAGTGCTTTAATATATGACAATGTATTTCTGCAATGGACATTGTTTCCACGGTTGTGTACCTCCAGCCTGAAAGATCTGGTAATGAACTTGAATATCTTTTCTGTTTATAGTGTATCTTACGAGAAGGGTGTGACACATACAGATGTTTTATATTCTTTACTAAAAGCGGAAGAGTATAGAAATCTGTATGATTTCGATAATCATTTGGATGATGTTACACTTAATTGGCAAAATTGCAAGCTAAATAAAACTATAGAACAAGCTATGGAGAAATATAAATGAAGCGATTTAAATAAAACCTGACTTTTTGTGAATAAGTTAGATTTTAAATGCGTGTAGAAACATTTTATATAAATAAACTGATAAATAGGAACAATGTGTTAATTTATTGATATTAATTATTACTAAATTTTTTTTATGAATCATGTAACAATTTTTTTAACAAAATTTATTTTTCAAATTTTAAAATAATTTTCCCTATTATCATATGAAAATATTTACATCTATTGTTATTATGTTTATTTTTCTTTATTGTACGACTCAACAAGATGCTGAAGATGTAATGCAAGTACACGTAAGAAATTCCAAGAGCGCGATTATATACATTTAAGGCTAAGTACAACGGTGAATGTACGTGTTATTTAAGTTTATTATGACCTGTTTATTGAAGCAAACCAAGTTTGACTGTCGGTAAGTCGTTATCTAGAATAAATGTGCGTTGAAACAACAAAAATGACAAATCATGAAGAGTATAAACAGTTTCATTTAGTACCTACTACTTGTTTAGGGTTAGTTCGGTTTTAAATAAAGATAATCGATCTTATGGAAAGAAGTACATGTTTGATGACTGTTCTGATACATGTTGGAATTCCGATGCAGTAAGAAACTTATTTTTAAGTAATTATTAATTAAATAAATAATACGTTACTGTATATACTATATTATAGGGTACTCCACAATGGGTAATTATTGAACTTGAAGAAGAATGCGAGCTGAGTTCATTTGAAATTGAATTTCAAGGTGGATTTGTGGGCAAAGATTGCCATTTAGATGTTGGTAACAAAGATGTAAAATTTTTGGAATCATTTTATCCAGAAGATAAAAATAAAATACAAACATTTCACTTAAAAAATTCAGTTAGAGCAAAATCGTTCAAATTTGTTTTTAATGAAAGTACAGATTTCTTTGGCAGAATAATTATATACAAGTTATCGTTATATTCTTAGATAAGATCAATATAATTAAATGCTTATTATATCGTATAAATAAAGAAACGATTGAAGAAGTTTTACAACTTAATTCCTTATTTCAGACTTTTTAATAGAATACTACACACTAATACAAGGAAATTAAATTTATTTAATTAATTATATCCTTAAATCTACTTGTATATATATTATGTTACAATAAAATATATGTACAAAAAAATTAGCACAGCGTACAATATCAATTTACTTTTCTTTTGTAATGAGAGGCTCTTCGTGAATATGCATTTTCAGTTTGTGTATTAATTAACAGAAATAGCAGAACCCAACTGACGCATCAACTTGTAACATTCTTGAAGTCGCTTTCTATCACCTACTCTTTCCAAAGATTTAGCAGCCTCTGTAAGCATGCCTGCACGTTCCCCTGGAGATGCTAATAACAATGCAGGTAAATGTTGACATGCTAAACACAAAGCCATTGCATGTTCTCTTTCTCCGCTGTACTGATCTTGGGAACGATCTTTCCCGCAAATAATCGAAGAACGTGAATTTCTATGATGTAAACTACGATCTAATAATATTTGAGTTTTTACAGGCGTCGCTCCAGCCATTATACGTGCTGTGGCTTCATAAAGGAATACCCTTGTTAATGTAGACTAAAAAAATGTATAACGTTTAAGGAAACAGGCAAAGAAAAAGATAAAAACGTTCTAAGAGTAAACTTACAGGAATATGTTGACATAATTGTCTCAAACAAGCTAAATCATGTTGGAAACCTCCAAGCCATGTATTCATAGTTGTTCTTTGTAAATCATTTTCTAATTCTTGCCACAATGTAGTTCGCATTTCGAGTAACCAATCACAAATCCACAACTGAGTAAGCTAAACAAAATTAAATAAAAATTAAAGATAGATATGTGACTCTTGGTCTGCATATTAGATTAGAAATGTACACTTATTATATTATATGGTGCTGAGACCTGCCACAGGAGTTGCACTGTAGAAGTATTGCATAGTTATATTTCATGCAATGCAACTACAATGCACACTTGTAACAGGCAAGCAATTAAATAAACATGCATACAATATTGATATTGGTTCAATGATTTAAAAATTAAAATTTAATAACATAAGTAAATAACTGAATATCTTACCAAAACATTTTGAGATGATTGTTGTTTGCAATTATAGTAAACTAAACTCTGCTCGAGCAAAATTCCAGCTTGATCAATAAAACGCATAGCAGTTGACTTAGTCGTAGATTTTGCCGCTTGCAAAGTATTTAAAACAGCATATGATAGTGGACTAATACTGTTATTATTATTGCAAAGTTGATAATTTTGTTCATAAGGGAATTTACTTTCGACGATGCTCCATGCTTGTGAATCGTCTTCTTTTAATCTCCAACATGCTGCTACATATAAAACTGCACCCCACCATAATCCAATGTCATCTTCACAATCTAAAAGACGATAAAAAATTAATGATCTAATCGGAATGAACATATTACATATTACAATTTTTCTTGAAATTTACGTGTAACTGTAACTTGGTCGGTGCACAGAAATCCGGTATCTACTCCAGCAGAGTCCATAATGGTCTGCCCATATTCTAATATTGAAGACAAATGAACATCTGTGGTACCAGTTAAAATACGTAAACAATGTCCACTTAAATAATCTCTATATGCACGAGACGCATATGATAGAGGATCAGCTTTACTACTTTGACATGTAAATTCATTATCTGGTTGTTCTCCGTACTGCCATTTTTGAAATGCTAAAAACTTCGCACCGTCATCGCTCATTATCCACTTCAATTTCGGTGGAACTGCACACGATGACAGTAATGTTCGTGCTTTTCCCAAGTAATATTTATGTACAAACGGAAATAGCGACTGTTTAAAGCAAAGCGCAGCGTTAACATATATTTCCGCTAACAGTGACTTTGGAATAGTTTCACCGCTAGCCTCTGCATAATTCATTGAGGAAAGTGCAAGGTATAACGTTCCGTTCTTCGATCCTTCTGATAAGCGCATGCATAACATGTGTTGGTAGATAATAGCTATTTCCATAGCTGATATTTCTGCTTGTTGCTGCGTAATTTTCTCGGAGAACCATTTGTGTGTATACAAGATCCATTTTCCAATCCACAATTTATGGAGCAATTGTCTTATAATGTGCCACATAGTTGCAAGCCAAGCTTCTGTACGTGAAGATGGATACGGCCGACCAAAATATTGCAAGCACTGATGTAAATCTCGACAGGCTTGACCATATTCCTTCTTTGATATATTGAATTCCGCTTGACGTCTCCATCGATGAAGTTCGAGAAACATTTTACTGTCAGATGGTACTATTGGATCACCATATAACAATAATCTACAAAGCCCACTAATTAACAGCACAACGTTTGTCAGCCACAAAAATACATTACTCCACATTGGATGTTCATAATCCGATTGATCTAGATTATTGACATCAACATTAATAACTGCGTATAATACAATCACATTAATATAATTGCGATTATAGTATTGATATACCTTGATAGTTGAGAATTGTACGGCCATCCAGTTTTGTATTTAAATAGTCGGAATTGAATTTTCTAACATTATTCATGAGGAGGCCTAAAGGATTAAATGCTAAAAACAGCAACATGAATCCGCACAGTGTGAGTCTGGTGTGATCTCTCATTCCTTGATTTGTAAGAACAGACGTTGAATGAACATTCTGCAGTATATCTGGATCATCTTTTATGGAAGGTGGAGATGATGGAGATAATGGTGCTGGCGCTGGAGATAAAGATGGTTCACTGGAATCAGATCTAGGTGGTGTCAGCTCACCACATACTAATAAATCGCGTAAATTTTGCTTTTGTGCTGCCAATTTTAGTGACATATTTTCCTGTTTCAATCTTGCATTAGAATGTTGAAGAAACCTATAATTTTCAATACATACTATTTAATGCCTTAAACATACATATAAATATCAGTTTGTTACATCGTGTATATCACTATAATGTACCTAATATAATCAATAGTTTTCCTCAAGATGGCTGATTTATTTAACTTGGCATCTACTCCAACTATGATATTTTTCAATTCAATGATTTTATCATTAATAGATGTTCTATAGCGTCGTTCTATAGCGTTATGAGCGCTACGTTTTACTTCTTTTATTCTTGGTACACCTACATGCGTATTTGTACTTAGACGATTAATCTGTACTTTATCGGTGTCTAGTACAACTGGAATACCTGCACAATACAACACATGAAACAGATTATAAAACTAACTTCAGTATAATAGAAATATTATAACTCATACCAGTTAGAACTGTTCCATTAGTAGTGTTTACTAGAGTATGTATTTGATGCGGTACAGAAGTTGAATTAACAGCCTGCGAACCTCTAGAATAAACAACTGATTCTGATTTTATCAATTTAGCTGGCAGAAGTAGTTGTCTTTGTTGAGTAACTGGTGCTATTGTTACGACAGGTGATTGGACACTGAAGTTCACATTTTGTGGAATAGCATATTGTGAACTAAACACTGTAGGTGCTGGTGTAACAGATATTCTTTGTGCCCTATTTTGTACGGATGTTATATCCTGCAATTGTGGTTGTTGTTGCTGCTGCTGTTGTTTTTGTGGCTGCGACTGTTGTTGAGACACACAAGGAATTTGTTGTATGTTTTCAGTTATTGTTGGGGCTAAAATTACATTTCCATTTTGTACAGATTTTATAACATTTGGATCCTCAAATTCTTGAAATTCTTTGAAATCCTTCAACTCTTTATTGTTACTGAAATTCAAAAAATCCAGTTCCTCCGTATCCATGTCCTCCAATTGCGACAATAATGCATCGTCGCTGAATAAGTTTTCATTTTTCAATAATTCACTTTCACAGTTCGTAAGAAGCTCTGTAAGAAAAGTGCAAAACGTAGAAATATGTTACTTTAATTATGTGCAATTTGTTGTAATAATGTTCCAAATACTGCCTCTCATGTTTTAAAAAATGTTGTGAAACATTCTATTTTTGACAGAAATATAACAATGAAATAGTACAATCATTGAAATCCAAAAGGCAAATAAATTAAAGTTGTTGCCAAGAATTCTTCAAGTTAACAGATACGCATGTAAGTAAGTATGTAAAAATTAAAAGATACATATGAATAATAACAAAACATAATTTTGCAATAGAAACCGAAGTGTTTATTAAGCTATGTTCAAAATTATGAGAAACAAATTGGAAACATCAGGAAGTCTAAAATATAAAAATGCTCATTGCTTCACCATATTCGTGTACAACGGAACAATAAAATATAATTTGATAAATAATACATGTAACATACCATCAATACCAGTTACTTCATTTAAATTGAAGCTGTCGTTAGACTGAAAATGAGAAAAATCATTATCTTGCGTTGTAGACCATCCTCCTGGATCTGTCATTGTGTCTTGTTGTCTACCGAATATTTATTTTCATTAGACAAAAGCAATGATCAAAACAAAAACGGCACACCGATATGTCAAACGTAATAACTAACAAATTACGAACATCACCCGACCTTTACCGCGTCCAATCACAGTGATTCTAAAGATCGGATGATATTACGTCATTATGCGTTGCTAAACTAACAAAATTTACTGTACGAAAGACATTAGGGACGGGTTTTTATGAAAGAAATATTATATTATCGTTTCCACTAATGAATTGTAATGAATGTTAATTTGATTGTAAAGTACGTGTGTACAACATGAAATGTAAAAATATCCATTGTTAATTTTATTCTTGAAAGATAACAGATTTTATTATTTCAAAAATATATATTGCACATTACACTGCACAGGTGCACATCCTCCTTATATTCTATGCCGTAATGTTGTATACTTTTTTTACATCTGAAAGGTTATTTGAATGTTGACTGATGTTGACTTGTAGGTTCTTGTTCTTATAATCATGTTTCAAGCTCTTCGTAAGCCTAGTCGAACAACAGCTTTAGTTGTTTGCAATTTTCACTCGACAGTAAGTATTAAATCGTAGTCATTTAAGCTTTAGTACGTAACACTATCGCGTGTCTCATATCTATTTCATTTTTAATCAAAGCAGTTGCAATGCATCAAAGAAAAAACTTTCTCACAAATGTTAGAGGATGGACCTGACTTGAAAGACTTTGTTGCTGGAACTTACAAAGAGTATGATGGAAAATTGAAATTAGATAAGGGTGACAAATCTCGTTTGAGGTTACCACCTTGGCTTAAAACAGAAATACCAATGGGTGCAAATTATAGTAGACTAAAATCACAATTAAGGCAGTTAAGATTAAGCACTGTATGTGAAGAAGCACGATGTCCTAATATTGGCGAATGTTGGGGTGGTGGTAAACATGGTACAGCGACTGCTACTATTATGGTTTGTACTATCAATGGATACATATAGCAGAACCGACAGTTGCCCAATATATTGAAAACTCAATGGTGATCAATTTTCATGCCTCATTCTGTTTTACTAGACCTGTTGAGCTGTGACAGTGATAGCATTCAACATAAAATCAATGATCAAATTCAATGATTGCGCAACTGTTGATTCTGCTGAATGTGTCTAATGTACCTTTTTATCTTGTACCCTTAATTGAAACTTAGTATAAGTATTTCTCTACTTAGTTATTTTATATTACATTGTTTAGAAGTTTATATTTTTGTTAAAACTCTTATATTATTGTATGTCCTTTCCTATTATTTTTACTTTACTGTTGAGTAACAATTGGGTTTTATCCAAAAAGGTTAATTAATAATATTATGAATACATAATAGTGGAAAAAAATTTAATACAGTTAATGGGAGATACATGTACCCGTGGTTGTCGTTTTTGTTCTGTAAAAACATCACGTACACCATTACCACTAGATCCAGAAGAACCAATTAATACAGCAAATGCAATAACAGATTGGGGTTTGGATTATGTTGTACTTACCTCGGTGGATAGAGACGGTTAAGTACTTCTGTATTTTTTTACGTAAATACATCAAAATATTTTACACTAATATCGTTTATTCCAATAGATCTCGATGATGGTGGAGCCAATCACATTGCAGAAACAGTAAAAGAAATAAAGAAAAAGTAACACGAATCACTTGATTTTTCCTTGAGAGAAATAAATTTCGTGACTATTAACGAAATATTTTCTATTTGACAGAAGTAACATTTTAGTGGAATGTTTGGTACCAGATTTCAGAGGCAATGAAAAATCTATTGAAACAGTTGTTAATTCTAATCTTGATGTATTTGCCCATAACATTGAAACTGTTGAACGTTTAACACCGTTTGTCAGAGATAGACGAGCACAGTATAGGTGAGTTCAACGTTAATAATTAGAAATTTCTCATTACCTGTCTCTACTAAACTGAAATCTTTATAGACAATCATTGAAAGTGTTGAAGACGGCAAAGGAGTACAATCCGGAATTGATCACAAAATCATCGATTATGTTAGGATTAGGTGAAACTGATGAAGAAATTGAACAAGCAATGCGTGATTTGAGAGAAGCAGGCGTAGGTGCTTTGACGCTAGGGCAATATATGCAACCTACAAAAAGACATTTGAAAGTTATTGAATATGTTACACCTGAAAAATTTAAAAATCTTGAAATCCTAGGAAGTGAACTAGGATTTTTATATACTGCAAGTGGTCCATTAGTACGTTCATCGTACAGAGCTGGAGAATTTTTCTTAACAAACATATTAAAGAAACGTAGGAATAAACAAGCCGAGAACCAATAAATATATTATTTTGATTTAATTGTAATTATAGAAACATTGATATATGATGTAGTATAAATTATTGTAAACTGGTGCATAATAGATTCTTGAATTATGGAAATGATTGTCGATTTTCCGAACAGAAAAATGAATATGTATTGAAAATTATCAGTTGCATGACACTCTATTGTTACATTCGATTTGATAATAAAAAATACAGTTTTTGAACATAAAATATATTGTAAAGTATGTTACATCATTCTTAATCTGTCTCCATTGCAACCGCAGCTTGTGGATCTTTTGGGCCTTCATCAGATGGTGGAGGCTGTGGAGGTTTCGAATCTTGTTCTACATCTGGTTCACTAGGTTTGCTACGTTTATCATCCTCAATTTGAGTTAAGTAAACCAATATTGACTCTTCGTCAAATACTTTGAACTCTGTACCCTTTCCTACTATTGCAATAGAGACGTTCTACAACAGAAATATATCGGAGCGTTATACATTGATTCTCTTTAGAGACTTATATTTATATATTTACCTTGACTGATAGATCAACTTCGTTAGGTAATGTATCTCGTAGTGCACGAAGACCGTGTTTTATCAATTCATCAAGACCGCATGTTAAAAGTTCATTAAGATGTTTCTCCAAATAAGTACGTGCACTTTGAGATCGTGCACCAATAGCCATTGCTTTACAATCAAAATAGTTCGATGAAGGACATGTTTGACAAATATGTGGTCCTTGATCCTTTGGAGACATTAGAATTATATTACTTATTTTCTCTTCAATGAATAATTTCTTATTAGTTCGTCATAACTTACATCATATCCAGCAATAAGTAAACCTACACCATATGGTCTTCTATCATATCTTTGAGTGCAGGTCTGTAATTTATTTCCCAATGATGCGAGTAAACGGCTAACAGGTAGCACATCATCATGGGAATATTTATAGTTTAAACATTCAGTTCTCATGTATCGACTAAAAACGAGAAATTTAAGTAAATAGTAACAATCTTAACATTAATGTGTCAACATTAACGCCGGCGCTGCAATTTGTGCTCCGAGTTATCTGGCGGCTTCATAAATGTTGAACAATATGTGCGAGTCACTGGTGGTATGCGCCGACGTCAACTTGTTGAAGTTTATTGTTTTTACCTTAGCATTCTAGCATCGGCTGTTAAGCCTGAAATAGAAATCCCCATATGTTTGTCTATAGGAAATATTTTCTTCTGATGAGCAGAAAGCTCAGAAGAAGCTCTTTTGAGAGCAATCAGCACTGCATGAGTTTTATTTTTAAGTCCTACAGTAGCTGATCCTAATTTTACAGCTTCCATCGCATACTCTACTTGATGCAACCGCCCTTGTGGGCTCCAAACTGTCACATCACTGTCGTATTGATTGCGGAACTAAAAATTTATTTAAGTGTTAATACATATTTGTTAAATGGAACTTTTCTTTAGTCATTTCTTCATTATGATATCAACATATATAGATATTAAAACATAAATTTAATGAGTAAAATAAGTGAGAATATTAATGTGCTCAAAGGTAAGGTATAATTCAAAATCTGTGTATAAATAACTAAATACGAAAATAATATTATAACTTTGAATACCATAACCCAACAATTAAGAAGGATATCACTTTGAGAATATATTATAATAATAACATAATGTACTTAATTACTAGCTTTGAATGTAAAAAAGTTTATAAATAACGTACCATTATTTAATACTATTTAGTTGACAAGTAGAATAAAGTTGCAAGATAATGCAAGCACTACAAACAGTATTAGATTTTTCAGAAAACAACTGTCATGCAGCGGTAAATGGAACGAATAAACGATAGTGAGGAAACACTGTTAAAATTGCAGGATGCGAAACGATTCCGCCAATGGTAATCGAATGTTTAACACATAATTCTTTAAACGATTGGTTATTGTAATTAATTATTTAATAAATAAGTAATAATAGAGTAGAAATAAATTTTGGCTTGCATAGCAAATATAACGTAATATATATATATATGCGTAATAAACTATTCGTCTTCCGTCTTCGTCCGTTATCCGTTTCGTGTAATAGCTGTGAGATTGCCAGTCTTACATTCTCTTTTTCAAGGCTGTAGAGTGTCTGGTTGGGCATGTAAGTATAATAATATTTAATAAAGAATTGTAGAGAGTTTGTGCTATATTACGAGCATATGTTACTTCTTTTTCCCATTAAAATGTATAAAATTTATATCGCTTATTGTTGATTTGTATTTTTAATGGACACAAAGTTAAATCTTGAAATTACTTTCACGCGCTTACACGTGTCAGTATATATCCATGTTTTATAAATGTTTTCTTGATATTGTACTGGAAACATTTTGTTCGAAATATGTTAAAATTTATTTAAAACTGACATTAACAATACATTCTTGCAAGAATTTGATGAAAACACAAAGTAGTGTGTTATCTACCTAACATAACCAAATTTTAATTTTCCATTGGCTTTGAAGTAAAGAGTTTTTTATAAGCACATACATATATATGCATGTTATAGATTGAGGCATCACAATGACAAATTCAAAGGGATACCGTAGAGGAACAAGGGACTTATTCTCCCGTAAATTCCGAAAACATGGAACAATTCCTTTGTCTACATATATGAAAGTATACAAAGTGGGTGACATAGTGGACATTAAAGGTAACGGAGCTGTTCAAAAGGGAATGCCTTACAAAGTTTATCATGGAAAAACTGGCCGTGTATTCAATGTAACTCCCCATGCTCTTGGTGTAATTGTCAACAAGAGAGTCCGTGGGAGAATCATTGCTAAGAGAATTAATGTTCGTATTGAACATTTGACTCATTCCAAGTGCAGAGAAGACTTTTTAAAACGAGTAAAGGAAAATGAGAAACTTAGGAAAGAAGCAAAGCAAATGAATACTAAAGTTCAGCTGAAGAGACAGCCTGCCGAACCTAGGCGTGCACATATTGTATCAGGACGTGAAAATCCAATTCAGCTTGCACCTATCCCTTAT